GACGATTGCTTATCGTTGAAACGTCCACCTGATTAGTCGATTCAGTCTCTAAGGGTTTCACGGAATACTACAACGAACCATCGTGCCAAGATAGCAAGAAGCTCCAGCGTGGACTACTTGGCGACAGTTTTGCATAAAACAGGTTCAAACATCGCGCGGAGACGCCCTTCGACACGATATCATTCTAATAGCGCCCAGATGTCGTAGACGGGAACGCAGCATAGATGAGTAGCGATCGATGACTGATAAAGTGCTTACAGAGAGAGTCTAATGCCATCCTGTGACGTGAGGCGCCTATCCTCCTATAGGAGGATAGGCGTCTCACGTCACAGGATGGTATTAGACTGCGTGATCGGAATCTTGTAGCAGATAGTAAGTCATTGAAAGCACAGTTGCTAAGGATGCCATCTCCCATGAGCTCTTTCCAGGTCTTTCATTGTTCTTAGGTATGCAAAAGAGGGCAACTATCGTTAGACTGCCTTTTTACGGGATGGCTCATTCCCCAACGACCAAACGAAACCCTTGCTGGTAACTCCTCAGCGTGGGCCGCGCCCTTTTGGAATGAAGACTCTTCACATTGAATTCTTCTATTGTACCTAGTACCTGATGATGCCCTAGCACTTCATTTGTATTCGCACCTGCCGCGAGGACCCAGCTTCCGTTAGCTCGCATGTTGTCGCTGTTGACTGCAGTCATAATGCGGCAACAGACAGCACCGTCGCTAAGATATTATCACGTAGTGTACTACACTCCAATGGACGACAAAGCGTGTAAGCAAAATATTGCTAGGATGTGGAAATTTCTCCAGCTCTTTGGGTTCATGTAGGTTGATCAAATTGGATTGCTATTGAGGTTAACAAATATTTCCTCCGTTTTGTCGCTGCTCATGCTTGACTCGTCTCGCACTAGTTTTTATGCATGTTACTGTGCTGTCTCTTGCCTTACACTGATGTAGTGAATTTAGAACTTACAACTATCTGAGCAGCTGTTCTAATATATTTCTCCAATAAATATTAAGCACCAAACTCACATAAATTTCATGTCGTCGCGGCTTGGCGGTGTGATATCAGCGTGAAATTAGCCTATATTTGACTAGGTTTTCTGCCAACATTGGCTGGTTTAGGTGGAAAACAATGAGTGGTAGAAAACGTGGCAGGTGGGCTTTACCAACCATCTTGATACCGCCTTCCCTCCACCTCCCGGATTGCGACAATGTTGACTCTAAATGCATATGAAAACGTATATATTATTGAAAATATCATTCACGGCATACCAAGAACGAATAAAAGCAAAAGCCGCGGAGACGTTTTCGATATTCTTCGCCGGTTCTGCGCCAATTACGCCGTTCACATTGTCTTTAGCGCTTGACAAAATCGATGGAGATTCTACTGAGAAAACAGTTGGACGATCAGAGTTACTGTAAGTGCAAGGGCCAAATAGTCAAATTCAGGAGAAGCATGCAATATGAGACATTTCATACACACTCATGAAGAGTATGCATGGGCGACTGACCTAAGGAATGTACCTCGGACAAGTTGAAAATCCAGACTTCCTCAAATTTTTTGAAAAAAAAGTTCTTATCGACACTGATTCACACTTCCCCCTTCTAATGCTGCAATCATTCACAGTCTTTTCATTTCTTAGTCTAGATACCCGCTTTCAATTTCCAAAGCTTCAATCCTCCACCAGTAGATTCCACGGTATTGAGCGCATCTATGAAGCTTACTGAGGGTAAGGAGGTGAGGAGAAGATCGTCATAGTTCAGTGCCAGCGGACACTGAAGAATAATTAAGCATAAAGTAGCAGTGTTTTAGACCATTCTTACACAACACAGAGGTGAGATCAATGGACAGCAAGGATTCATTATCCACGTTGATGAAGAGATATGCTACGCCCCACACTTTAGTCTAGAAACGGATTGGAAGCGTTATCAAGCCAAAAAGCGTTTCATTATCAGCTTGGGTGTTGAACATTGAAGAAATTGTCGACCACTAGCCGTCTGATATTAAACCTTGTTTCCAACGCTGTCTTGCTTCAGCAGCCAGTCACATCAAGGCATAATAATGGTTGTCCAAAACATGAAAACTCGCAGCTTTGGCTTAAGACGTTCGCGGCAACGCCGTTCGCCAAAAACTCCCTTTATCGTTCGGCGCGTTCGCGGCAGGCGATAAACGCCAAAACCTTCCCCCAGTTTATTTCCTCCTCTGTTTCGTGACCTTCTCAATTTTTTTTACATCTTATCCCTTCACTGGTCTGCGTGCAATTTTCAATAGACTGAGTAGTCTTTAAGGTTGATTAAAATCTGAGGGGAAGCCTTCTTTACTAGAAATTATGTACAAATAACAATGCAAACAATTCGCAAGTAATACTAGAAAGATTTTTGTGTGGTTTCTTGTGGTTCCCTCCCGAACTTACCAGAAGTTTCCTCTCTTTTTACACTTGAACGGAGTTGATTTTGATGCAGAAACTAATGTGGATTACTACGTCATCACAATAAACCTTCACATCAAGATCAGTCCTTTCAGAAGAGAAAGAAAATTGTTAATAGTATTATAGTATATAGAGCTTTTCTATTGTATGCATTATTATTTGTATCTGATTGTGAACGAAAAAGGAAAAAAGTCACAAGAACAGACAAAGAGGCTCGTGTATTCCCGGGAGTTCGATTCGCCAAAAGAGGAGCTTTTCGTGTACTTCCTGGAGTACACGCCGCCCCGAACGTAGTAACTCAGCACGATCCAGCAACGATTGCTCAGAATGTAGAATATTTAAAACAAGTTTTTTGTGACGAGAGCAAACATTGTACTTCCTCACCTTGCCTTTTGTAGAACGCTCTGCTCTGGAGAAAGTTGTGGCCTTTCAGGGAAAAGGTCTTCAGGCAGCGTTCAGACTTCCGCAAAAGTGTTTTGGTCGACGCGATCGATTAATCGGATCGCGCTCTAATGCTACAGTAGAGGTGGGCTGCGGCTAGATCTAGCACACATATGATTTGTAATTGAAATGATTGAAAAAGGGAAGGAAACAGATGTTCACCTATAAATTGAACCTCTGTGCAAAACATACGGAAGAATCCACTTGAAAAAGAGGCTCGAAAAAATAGTCGCATGACAGGGAACAATAGCGAAGAGCAACAAAAAAAACCACCTGGGAGAAGGTTTGCTTATGTGAGATTCAACACAATAAACATCAACATCATCACATTATATCAACGAGGAAAATGAATGAGAGGAAACTACTCTTTCTTGAAATGAAAGGCCAACGCAGAAGGAAATGAGACCTCTTTGTAGACTAGAGCTCGCACTGCATGGAATCGGCCAGTTTCCACAGTATATGCTCTTGCGTGTACTCTTGTTGTGATGTTCTCATGTGCATTCGTTTGGGGGTTCTGTCTAAAGCAGCGCTCTGAAGTATAATTAGTTGATGCAGGGTACAGCATTGGAATGGATGAAATGGCGGCGGCTGTACAACGTCTATCTGAAACCTTCTAATTATTTCACCAAGCATTCCTGAGCATGTATCGTTGACCGAGGATTGAGGAAAAGGGGGGAGGGGGCAGACTACTTCGATCAGCTATCTGAGATTGTAGTCTTGCCGTGCAGCACTACAGCGGAGGTCGTACACATGGTTGCTTGAAACGGGGCAAATCAAGAATCGCAAAACCTTATTTTTCCCCACACCGACTCCGACCTCTTGCTGAAGATCCCCAAAAAAACGTGCCCGGCCAGGCTTGAGGCATCAACCTTTCTGACGGTTTCTCAATGCGCGGCCGCCCTAACCGCGGAAAATCCGCTGGGTTGTAATTGCTGTTGTAATTGTAGTTGCTTATTACACAGGTAATCCCGTGTGGTGTAAGTAAGGAAAAAAAGAACACAAAACCAAAAACAAATAAACAGCAAAAACAGCGCTACTAGAACTTGATGCGTATGAATAAAACCACTATCAAAATTCGAGAGCGTGCAAACAAAACTGGTATAAAACAGCCATGAATCCCAGGAAAGGAAAACAGTGAATACAAATAAAACGAACTGTGCTTGCAAAGGTATTATGATGTAAGATGTTTGTCTAAAGCAGCCTTGAAAGCGCTTAGTTTGCTCGTGGTCACTCCCAAGCGTACCAGTCTGTTAAACTCTGGGGCAGTCCTATTAACAAAGAAGTGATGCCTGATATTACTCTTAGTTCGACGAGTGATCAGCTTTCTAGCGCTACCTCTGGTAATTGAATCTCTCACCGCAAAAAGAGTGTTAGGTCTAATACCAGTGCGTAGGTCAAATTTTTTCCTCCTGAGAGCTAGGGTCTCCATGTTGAGGTTAAGGTTCCTCACCACACTGGAAGGTATTTGTTCGTACTTGTATCCCACCGCTCGCACGAAAACCTTTCTAGTAAAGTTATTTTGTACCCTTTCTAGAGCATTTATACTTTTTGAACGACAATGTATCTGTTGCTTCGGAACAGAGGGACGATAAGGTTGAATGCTTCAAGATGATCTACAGGGGTGCCCAGAGCCGCTTTCGCCGTATCCTTGTGGTGTGAATGCTTTGCTATAACCATTTACATGAACAATTTTGTTATGTCTTGTTATGCAATGAAAACAAAGGCAAATGCTTGGCAACGCATTTTACAGAAGCCATCTTTAGCTGTAGAAATTCGAACTGATTTGAATAACAATATATGATATTCCTGTAGAAATTCGAACTGATTTGAATAACAAATATGATATTAAGGATTAATATAAATAGTGGAGCAGCAAACTACCATCGTTACTCCCTTTACTTGCCTTACATTCCCTTATTTTTCAGGCTACTGTTGTGTGCATTACAGAACCTGACAGCCTGCTTCAATGTAGCAAAGAGAGGTCCAAATCCAGGCAGTTTTTTTTTCATTTCAGGTCGAAAGAAATGCGCTGGCTGATACTTGAATGCCTTATTGTGGGGTGTTTGGCTATGTCTTTTGAACGGAGTGCGGTAAGTTCTGCTGAAGACTTCTTGCTTTCTGAGGCCGCCGAAAGCTGGGCCTTCCAACAAGGTCATAGTTAGTCGCTGAAGGGAGGGGGGATCGCTGGGCTGAGAAGACGTGAAAAGGGAGGGATAACTGTGCAATTCTTGGTTTTGATCAATGTCGCGCTGTACCAAAAACTCATCACGAGTCAGGATCTAAGTGTTCGGAAAGGCATCAGAAAGTAGCCAACGGACTCCAAGAAACTGAAAATTAGTTTAACTGCCCAAGCCTTCCACAAATTTCATCCAACTGCTTGGAATCATGGGAAATTTCCTGTAAGCAACCAAAACATAATTCACATGGGTCTGCCGGTACCACACCAGGTGTGCACCCTACTCTGGGAATATCCGCATTCTTAGTTATTTTCCTCTCTCGTAACGAAAGGGAAAGGAAGAGGGTTAAATGAAAAATTTTCGGATGAAAAAAAAATTATGACAAGTCGTGGGAGTTGGCGAAGATTCCAGGAAGACGGTAGGTAGGATGGGAAGTGGAGTAACGGTACGGTCGGTACCGAACATAGCGCTACACATCCGGTTCAGGCAGAGGAGATCACAACGTTTTCTCGGCTCACTCGTGCACCTTGAGCACATTTTGCCCACATTCCCGACCAGGCAACAGTACACTCACAATTATGTCCGTGGACACGCCCTCTCCAGTAGCCATGATACAGAGTGTGAATCGCCACGTAGGTTGTCTCTGCTGCTGATTTTGGGCACTAGCCTTGTTATCCCCGGATCTCCTTGTAATTCTTTTCTTCTGGTTTTTCTGTAGAGTAATTCAATACGTGGCAGCAAATTGAGATGAGTGAAATAGGAGAGGAATAAAAAAGAAAAAAAAATGGTGAAAATGAAAGCGATAACAATAAAATGTTTACAGAGCAGGGAACAATGCTATCCTCTCGACGAGAAAACCAGTATGTGTGTCCAGGCCCATGCAATTCCATCAAATTGCCTTGCAATTGGGAAGGACGCTATCGTGTGTGCGAAGACACGGTCCTTGCGGTATAAAGAACCACCACTTAAAGTAAATTCTCCGAAGAAGACAACCGAGAAGTATAGATTCATTCATTGGGACAGGATTGTACGTCCTATACGCTATGTAAGTTCAGCAGTTATGATCTGTACTGATACAAGAAATCTGGTAATATTCACCTATACTGCCGAACTCGTCAAAATTCAAGCACGCGTCCCAGGGTTTTCCCCAGTGAATTCCTCTAAATATTGCCGCTGAGGGACTTCGAACCCTACAGAGACAGAATTCGCCCGTCGACGAATTCGTAGGATCACTCCTTACGCAAAATGTGGACCATACTGCCTACTGGGCGCAGTTCAGCAACGCGGAGGGGCATTTTGCTTTTTCGTTGCTTCACTAGTTCTGGTTTACAAGTCTCACTCTGGTGAAACCTGTGAACTCTTGTGAAGCTGGAGCAAGCTCGTCAAGCCTCATGTAAAACCGGCAAACTGAAGAAGAGGCTGTCTAAATGGGTAACACGTTGTCGGTAAGTAGCTGAAGTGCAAGATACCCTCCATGTCACCGAACTGCCCCGGCTACTGTATATAACTGCAGCTTATCATGGCCGCAACGTCCTCATCACTTATTCTGGTGCCGGGAAAGTAAGGCAGACTTAGCGGTCAGCACCCGACTTCGGGCAGTGGTTGAGCGCGGGGTCGTATCATACCTGCTTGTAGCCAAAACCTCTGCCACTGAAAGCCACTTTGGAGAACGTGCTAGACGTTTTCAAGCTAAAAAATATGATTTTCATATCCTGAGCCAAACTATCTTGAGACGAATCTTTAGCAAATGTAACCATTTGTGGTATTCCGCTCCGACACTGGTGGTGTGGGCGACAGTAGATTTCAAGCGAAATGGAGAAGTACTTGCGTTCAGTGGGTGAAGCCACCCACGGGAACAAAATTTCAGTGAAATCTGAGAAAACCTTCCGACCAATATTGGCTTGAGTTTTGAAGAATGAGGCGGTAGAGGGTGAACAGTGCAGCGAATCTATATTATCTTAATTCCTTTCAGGAACCGCTTTAGTGCCTTTTCTACAGCTTCCAAAGTTACCACCGTCGAAGGAGAAGACAGTCCGATCGCTAGAATAAATGCTATATCCCTTCTGCTTCACCTGTCTTGACACATCAGTTCTACACAGTTTGTCTGGATGAAAACCTTTTCATATTCACCTAAACTCAATTAAAGACGGTCCCACGCTCAAGTAGTACATGGTTGTCCTTTCTTGGGCAGGTAGTTCAGCCCCCAAGCTAGATACTGTCTCACTCTCGCGACTCCTCAGCGAGCGAGAAGCGAGCTAGAACCGCTCAAAGTTCTAGTTCTAACGCCTGCTCAGTTGGACCGCCTCACTAGCTAGCTGCCCTCTGACGGAGAGCCGCTCAGTTGTTCCTTGTTGGGACGGCAGTCATTAATCGGAACTGCATGTATTTTTTGCTGACCGCGCTCGTGCTCGTAAATAATTCTGCTCTCCTTCATCACATTTTATTCATTGGGAGCACGTACAGTCAACAGCAACCCATCTCGTAAGGTAAAACGCGTAAAAATCACGAATGATGCAATTTCTGTGGTGCAAAAGCTCGACGCACTTCACTACACTAAAACATGCTCGCTACCGTAACCCTAAGTTCGGACGCCGGCTTTTTAAATGTTTCCTTTTCTTTTCAAGAGTTTTCCTCTATGTTTCTGTTGTTTTTTGTTTTCTTTTCTTCGCATTCGATGATATCCACTACTGGGAGATGTGACAAAGTGATTTGTGAGCCAGGGCTTGCACAGAGACCGCAGGGAGGTGTGACTGTCAGGGCGCGATTTTGTTTATGGTGTTCTTGAGGGCTCTTGTTTCTTTTTTCCTTCATTGAGGAATTACTTATCAGCTACTGTTTCATAATTGATCAGCAATTATCCTTGACACTTTTATCGCGGGAGCTGTCTTTAACCCGAAACGGGTAGCTAAACCCGAACTGATCGGGTGGTTCTGCTTCAGCTTACGTCTCTGTTGAAAAAATTTGGCACGGGAGGCATTCGTCTCTGAGAAAAAATTCGTGAATCTTGGTCTGATCCTTCCCTTTCACATGCTCTGTGAACCATTGCTACTAGGGGGAGGGGCTTGGCAGAAGCACCACTTCCGATAGCCGGAGCGTACCCCTCTTATCCCAACCCCTCCCCTCCCAGCAAAATTTTAGTGAAACTCAGGTGAGGGGCAATCTATGCCTTTGTCGTACCAGTAGGTTATTGAAGGGGGTTATAATGAGACACACCTTCTTAGGAGCACGATTTCTGGAGGAGACTTTATCGCTTTCCCCGTTATGGCTGAGCCCAGTGCGACTTATCAGTTCCAAACCTTTTCCCAATACTCAAGGATCACGTCTACCTGGATGGGCAGTCATGACGAAGAAGTTAATGTATGGCGCCGAATCGCAGTCAAGTCGTATCTAACTGACAGCTTCCTATTCACATGGGCAAAAATGCAGTCGTGATCCCTGCAAACAAAATAGGCATGTGACGCGGTGTGGATTGTAAAGCAGCCAAGGTGGTTTGTTCCACCACTGATGCCATACTAAGCCAGTTGGTGGGATCTGCATTGCCTGCATCCAAAGCCACGCCCTCTTCACAAACCTTGTCATTAAATGTACATAAATATCCAATGAAAACGAGAGTACTATGGTGGCCAAAGCCGTGACTTTCCGCTTGGGGCTCTTTCCACAACGCTTGCACAACGGAAATGTTCCAGAGGCAATAATTCCACGACTTCGCTACCGTTACCTCGCTGAATACGGTATGTTCATGACTGCCTTGATCGCGGTGATATTCTTAAAAGCAAGGGCACTGGGGGCAGCCGCGTCCACGACTTGATGAAAGAGCTGAGCAGAGTGTGGCCGAACGCTCTCGCGCATTCCCTCAACCAAAAGCGCTCCACGTCAGCAATCATGTCCACAGTCTTTGACGCTGCCAGGCCCATATCTGCCTTCAGTCACGCAAAACGTTCTTCTTCGTGAGGGCATTCCAAAAAAGGTGTTCTTAAATAAATGCGTCTTCTTGTCATAAAACTCATCAAGAATTTCCAGAACTTTCCGGAAGTTTCTAAAAAAATCTCCGACAAATCATCAGAAACACACGCCCCCCAACCTAATAGTTGCCCAAGAATTTCTTAGCTGAACACAGTTATCCAAGCTGTCTGCACAACCACGTTCACTCAATGTTAGGGCGCTTTCTCCGGACATGGTAGTCCTTCCTGCAATCAAGAAGCATATCTACTTTCGCCGCTCAAAAAAATTGTGAGAAAAGCGAGACCCCCACGTGACGTAGCCACCGCCCCGCCCACTGGCCAGGGCGACGCCCAACTTTCATGTTGAAAATCTTACTGGTGATGCAAGTGTTCGGCTACTAAACTTCTCCTTCTGGAATGGTGAAAGTGGGGTGTTGGGGAAAGCGCTCACCTCAAAAAGTGGGAACTCGTCTACCACGATCCTTTGTGGACAT